TTTTAAACAACCTATAAACGGGTACGCAACCTGTCCTAGTTTGGAATGGTCACTATGGATCCGAATATGCACTAGGCCGAATGGTCAAAAAAGGGTGCCCCGGTAAACCGGGGTTTGTGTTCCCATACTGTCAGAGCCCACAATCGGTCAGCCTTATGGTCATGCCTTGACAAGACAAGCCTCCGGGAAACCGTCCAGGAATAGCATATGGCAAACACGGTGTCCTAGGCGCACCAATGCAAATGCAATGCAAAGAATCACACAAGTATAGTCAAAAACAGATATCATGAGTTTGAGTCAAGTCCTCTAAATCCCCAGCAGAGTCGCCAGAAACTGTAACAAGCCCGCGGGGGACCTCGCTACAGCTCGGACTCGATTTTTGTTAGTCACGGTTCTAAATCTGAACCAAAGAGTCCAAATCCGGCAAATCGTTTTTGAGAAAACAGATTTTTTTTGAAAAAAGTGCCAAACATGGACTGCTTTGCCTGATACAGAGTCGCCACCTAAATATTTTATTTTGGGGAAATTTAGAGGGAAATTTAGGAAACCCTGACTCGGTGCCAAAAGGCCACGTGTCCGTCATCACCAAAGTTGCCTCGGCTCGGGAACTTGGGTACGATTGGGGAAGGTCACTTCGTGAGCACCCCCGCTCGCCCGGTCATAGACCGGCCTCTACTAACCATGATATCAATTTTTGAAGACTTTGTATGTTCTTATTCCGGTTATTAGCCTAGGTTACTATGTGATGCACAGCATACAAGTATAGACTGGATTGCCTGAATTGGAACAAAACATTCCATGTTTGTTGTGTTTTTTTTGAAAATGGTTTACTACCCGCAGGTAGGCTTGAAACATTTGATGATTTATTCCAATTCAGATAACCCAACCTTCACCCACAGGCATTCAGGCAGTTATATCAAATAAACACATAGCCTCATGGTAAGCATGCTATTCATGGCAGTCACTCACACATGTGCAAGGATGCTAAAGCATAAAAACTTACCGAGTACTCCCAGCCAAAATAGACACTTGTTAGAAATCATGCATGAATCCTAAATATACAGAAATGTCTAATGCAACACATGCAAAATGCAACTATAGCAGGCTCGGCTATTTTAAGATGGTATATG